TACAATCACTTATTTATTATTAAGTATATGTGTATGCATATATATGTATATTTATTTGTGTGCATGCACATATCTAATAGTATATAATACATAATAATATAGAATATATTTATAATACAATATATATAATAAAGATATGCTCACAGTAAGTAGTTCCATTCCTCCAAGTTCTGTATACAAAGTGTGTAGTGTCTTCAATAATCGGGTCTTGCTTTCAAGTTCTAAGAGGCAATCAAAGTCCTAGGAGGTAATAGCAATAGCCTATATCACCTCATGTAGCATAATCCCACATATGTCTTTATATGTATGTGTGTGTGTATCATATATATGTTTTAAATTTTCTCACAAAATAGTGCTTCCCTATTTGCATTTTTCAAATATCCTTAGTCTTATTTATCTTTCCTTCCCTGGTCTCCCTCAAAACTAGCCCCATTCCTCCATTTTTGCAAATATTTAAAAGATGCTGAGGTATTTCCATCTTATTAGTAATCTCAAAATTTTTAACAGTTCATCAGTTGTTGAATTTGTGGGTAAAATAAGAACTTACAAAGCTGTTGTAGTGGCTGACCACTCCACAACTCTCTCTTTCTTGGCTTCTCTCTTCACACACCTCTTCCACTCAGTTCCTCAGCCATTCCCTGTTCCTGCCTTGTTTTTTTTTTTTTTTTTTTTTTTTTTTTTTAAATTAAAAATTTTTTTTCATGCTTCTGCTTGCATCTGAGACTATGCTTGTCCATAGTTAAGACAGGATCTAAAATATTCCTCCTTTTACCTTCTGGCAGCCTCACCTAACTAACCCTTACCTTCTCTTTCACTGTGTTTTCTGCTGCTAAACCTTTGTTTAACTACACCATAGTGACTTTGAGCTGAACCTTGTTGAAAGAGAAGTAAGTACAAAGCCACACATCCTTAAATAGCAAGACTAAACTTTGGACAAAAATGTATAGCTTCAGAGCCTATGTTCTTAATAACAATGCTACACCATCTTGCATTTGACGAATGGTTGCAACTTTCCAATTTGGCAGAGAGTTATCACACTTGCAAACACACATACAAAATATACCCCACTCACATTTAAACACTACACAATTTTTTCTGTTTCTATGACAATCATTGTAACAATGGTCACTCAATCCCAGGCTATTCCTGTTTTAATGGGCAAAGTAAATCCATCCAAAGATTAAGTTCATTCAGAAGATTAATTCCAGCCATTCCCCAAAGACAAGTTAACACCAGAAGCTGACACTACAACTACTAGATAACTTCAAGTGAAGACATTAGCTTTATATAAAATAAGATTTTACCTGAATTTTCACCCTTTATTGGACAAAGACCAAAGTCTCATCTTTTCTGAAGTTTTAAGAGTGAACTTTGGGCTGGCTTCCCATCTTTTCTTTTCATACAACTCTTCTGTTCTTGGGTTTTTCCAGGATGAAAATTGAGTAATCAAAATACTAAAAGGAACTCCTTCCCAGCCAGTACACCCACAGAGGAAACCTGTTATTTTTAATTATTGTTTCCAGTGTTGTTTATAAGTCATTATTTAGGGAATAGATAATCAAATACTCACGTGTATAATAAAATTTAATACACTTCAATTATAACCAAACAAATACTACCAAAGTTTTAGCTGAGTAGAAACTTCCTAAACATTGTAAGTTTTGTGAGCTTATGCCCATCCAACTTAACTACCTAAAGTGGAGTTCCTAAATACTGCCTCTAGGACATTTCAAGGAAGTGAGCAGAATACTCATAGATATCATCACACTGTTTTTGCTCTAAGTGTGCTGTATGTATAAATGTATCTAACCATTACAACAATATAGGAGGTACCCATTGTTACCCCTTTAAACTGTGAGTGAATGGAGAATTAGAGTGATTGATTTGTCCAAATTCTGTTTTTAAGCAATAGAGGTGACTCACACAGGCAACCCTCATGTCTGTGCTTTAGTCACTGCATTCAACCATATTTCAGAAATTATCCATGCTTCTGCCTTGAAAAATGATACATAAACAATTCTTCAAATGGAATACCAAATCAAACTATATATAGAGTGAGAATTGATACATGCACAAATATAGCTGGAATCAAAATGTATAGCCCTAAAAGAATCTATGCATCTCCCATACATATGCATGTTGATCTGTATAAAGTCATATTTTGAGAATTTTCTACAAAACTATTTTACTTTTTAATAAAGTTTATAGTTTTAAATCACAGATTCATAGGCAATTATAATAAATAACACTCCATTATAACCAACAGTAACCAATGAATTATAAATTATATGTACATACATAGAGAGAAAAGGGGGAGAATACACACCATCCTTTCACTACAGGATCTTCTTTGTTACACACTGTCTCTATTCTCACTTTGCCTTCCTCCCTGTCCTTATCTCTAGACCATTAATCTGTTTTTAAATGTTTTATAAGGTAAATATTCATAAATTAGTGTACATGAATACTTCCCCTAGTGTTTCTTAGTCCAAAGAGTTGCCTACTGATCTTCTTGGGTCTAGACATCACTGTGGCATCATGCAGACCATCTGAGAAACAACAGTATAAAGAGGATGTAAGCAGTGGTTTCCCTTTTATTCCTCTGTGTCACCATCCTTTCTACATTTAGCTTATGTTTTGACAGTTTTGCCAAGTATAAGTATGAGTCACATTTTTAGATTTCACATTCTAGTCTTGATAGGTTTTCCTTCTTGTTTACATGGTCTTTTGTCAGATGAGGAAGCATAAAGGACACAGAAATGTCTAATGGAAGTTCATCTAACCATTCAAGAACCTTGATTACTAAAGAGTTCTGTACACTTCTATCTAATGGTCTTCGATAAATGTAAAACAACTTACTTAACACATAGAATCTGACCATATACTAAACATAGAAAACTAAGAAAGTGGATAGTGTTCACTGTGTGTATTGGAGCCATAGGTAACTGCTTTATACTTCACTGCCTGTTCTGAAACATGTATAATAGAAATTATATTCTATTCTTTCTATAGAAGAATTATATTCTATAGAAATATCATGAATAATTTTTGTTATTCTATTCCTAAATATCTGCTTTGCTGGAGGTAAAGAGGCACCTACATGGAGTCTTTGTATATAGTTCTCTCTGTATCTCGCTTTTTCTCTTCTGTCTCATTCTTTTCTATGTGTGTATATATGTATATATGTGTATGAGTATATATGCTTGATGTGTGTATGTGAGTTTGGTGGTATATTTATGTGTTTGTGTGTATGTGTGTGTGAGTTTGGTGTGGGTATGTGTTTGATGTATGTGTGTGTGTGTGTGTGTGTGTGTGTGTGTGTGTGTGTGTGTGTGAGTTTGGTGGTATGTGTTTGTGTGTGAGAGAGAGAGTTTGGTGTGTGTATGTGTATGTGTTTGTGTTTGTGTGTGTGTGTGTGTGTGAGAGAGAGAGAGAGAGAGAGAGAGAGAGAGAGAGAGAGAGAGAGAGAGGGAGATGGAGAGGGAGAGAGAGAGAGAGAGTTTGGTGGTACATGTATGTGTTTGTGTGTATGTGTATGTGAGTTTGGTTTGTGTTTATATGTTTGCTGTGTATGTTTGTGTGAGAGTTTGGTGGTGTGTGCATGTGTTTGTGTGTGTATGTGAGTTTGGTGTGTGTGTATGCTGTTGTGTGTGTATAAGTTTGGTGTATGTGTGCTTTTTCTGGACTTTCAGTGTATTATTTTCTAAATATTCTTGAAAATCTTTAGTAGAACCAAGTGTTAGTCTTATTTCTTAAAACAAGAATGTCTGTGTATCTCTGAGTTCAAACCCATCCTGGCCTCCAGAGTGAATTCCAGGACAGCCAGGGATACACAGGGAAATTTTGTCTTGAAATTCAAAAAAAAAAAAAAAAAGACAAAACAACAAAAATGGTGGCCCATGTAATTTCAAATGACTTAATTTAAATAAAAACATCCCTGATGGTGTACCCTGCTGCTTGGAAAAAAAGAGAGACTGTCTCTGATAGTTTGAGAATCTAGTAACAAGAATCACCTTGATTCTCAAAAGTTATTTTTCACAACTTCTTAACTTTCTGAAAGATGGTAATGAGCTATGTTTCATTGACAGTAGGTAAGTGACATCGCATGCAGAGTAGTGCTAACCTATGCAGGCAGAGATGACAAACAAATGTGACCACTCTGAACTTGTTTATGTTCAGGACAAAACCATCCGCACACCCTTCATTTTCATTGCTATTTGAACAACTTAATTTTACACTTGATTTTTTTTTCCTGAATTTCTTTTTTCTAACTTTTAGTTCTGTGCTCTACAGATACAGTTCCTTCAGATGGACCTATGACAAGAAGTTTTGGGAAAGCCTGAGAAGATGTAATTATCAGACAAGAAGCTCCTCAAAAGGGCGTCAGGGAATCCTAACACCCTGGACATCCTCCTGTGATCAGCTGGCTGTGGCTTCATAGAGCTCATCTCCCACCTTGGCAAAAGCATTTGAAACATCTGCATGACATTGAAGCAGAGAGTAAATGCTCCCTCTTCTTTTCAAAGGTACTTTGGGCATTTATATGGTGTTGGTGGGGTGTTTGTTTGTTTCTTTGGTGTATGTAATACAAAGGCAGTCATTTGAAATATATACAGGCAATACTTTCTTTAAATCTGGATATTGGCATATGGCAATTTTGCTAATTTGTTAGCTTGCTTCTTTTGCCTTGATATTTCAATAATTATTTTTTTATAGTTTAATGTGTTTTAATAGCAAACTTTCAGGAACAGCACAGAAGACAGACAACATTAAAAACATGTACTGGCATGTAGGACAACTCAGTTAGAAAAGTATAGTGAATGGATGGAATCTACTGTATGTTAAAAATGCTACAAACACCATTTAGTTGCCCTCAATAAGAAATTTACTTATTTTTTAAAAATCCAAATGCTGGCATTGTCCAGAAAATTTTATCAGGTTTATTTATAATTTTTATAAAGTTGAACTGTTGAAATGTGTTCACTGAAACATTTTGCTGGCATTAATGCTTTACATCTTGCATTTATATTAAAAATTCACACACAAATGAAAATGGAAAAACTGCCAATACCTGATTTCGGTCCCCTATTTTTCCACTCGCAACCATATACTTAGGTACCTTTTGGCCCCATGGAAAAAATATCTAACATTCAGAACTACTGATAACAGGAAGAGGAAAAAATTTTTTGAGAATGAAATGTTTCCCCTCATAGTGGACTCTTAAGCACGTTCTCCACGTATTCGGTGTGCTAGTTGGATAGCTTTTGGCATAACTGTTACACTTTTGGCATGGATGGCACACAGGTTGGTATCTTCAAAAAGGCCAACCAGACAGGACTCACTTGCCTCCTGCAAAGCACCAATAGCTACACTCTGGAAGCGCAGATCTGTTTTGAAGTCCTGAGCAATTTCTCGAACCAGATGCCGGAAGGGGAGCTTGCGAATCAGAAGTTCAGTAGATTTCTGATAGCGTCTGATTTCACGGAGTGCCACAGTACCAGGCCTGTAACGATGAGGTTTTTTCACCCCTCCAGTAGAGGGCACACTCTTGAGAGCGGCTTTTGTAGCCAGTTGTTTCCTGGGTGCTTTACCACCGGTGGATTTGCGGGCAGTCTGTTTTGTATGAACCATGGTAAGAGCACCTCCTTACTTACCCCCCTTCTCCTTCGGCTGGAGAGCTTCAATAATTATTTTTGTGTGCTAACTGGAAGAAAAACTTTTCTTTTATCTAAGTTTTAGCTCTTATCAAGTAGATTATCTGTCACTCAAATTTCAATACCTTAGTGGGTACATTTGATTAAAGCTCTTTTAAGCCTTTGCTTGCACCCTTCAGCTTTATTCCTCTTTGAACAACTTAATTTTACACTTGATTTTTTTTTTTTTTTTGAGTTTCTCTTTTCTGACTTTTGGCTCTGTAATAAGTGCTCTGTAAAAATACCCAAAGGGGAGAACTTGCATCCCACTTTCTTGAAATGTCTGTCTCAGGAAACAGGTGAGATCAGGCCTCCTTGGAGATTATCAAACACAATTCTTATGCCAATTAGAAATAGGGAGTAGCCATTCAGGTGAAAACAATTAAAAGAACATGGGCCTTAGGGTTGTCTTTGTGGGTAAAAGGTGCCTTCTTCCCAGGCTGGTAATCCTTTAATCCCAAGGACTCTCTACAGACTCCTGCACAGTGTCTTCTGACCTGCACATACATACCATGACACCATGATATACATGTGCTCCACCCCTATGGGCACACACACACACACACACACACACAAACACACACACACACACACACACACACACACACACACACACACACAAAACTAAAATGCAGTGTTAAAAAATTTAGGAAGATTATAAATTTTGTAGCTTACAATCTTGGCCAGTTCCTCATTTGCTTAACTTTACTACACCAGGCAGTGGTCAGACCCAAATCACATACAATGCACAAATTCTTTGACTCAGTATCAACCATAAGAAATATTATACAGGATGTGTGAGGTGCTCTAATAGCCCACCCTAGCATGGAGACCCTTGTCCAGAGGCAAAGTTATCTTAGAAAATGTAAAGTATTAAAAGTTAGTGTGTATGAGTGGTGTGTGTGTGTGTGTGTGTGTGTGTGTGTGTGTGTGTGCACATGAGTATACACACATGTGCAGGAGCATCTACAGAAACATATCTACTCATTGAAATGTACCCCATTAGAAATAGATGGTGTGGGTTGACTAATTTCTAGATTTTGGTTTATTTGTTTAATTAACTATTAAGTGGCATCATACTTGCCCGTAATGTAGCTATCTGTATTATGAATGGCGTAATTATAATAATTCTCAGTTTTAAAAGCCTGAGAGTCTTTTTTCCCCCTTTGTGAAAATTAAAACAGTTACTTCACTCCATGCTCTGTTGAGATGACTGACAATTGATGAAAACATACCAGCTCCCACAAATAATTTTAATTTTCATCCAAAATAAAAATGTGTTAATTCCTCATGTCTATAGCAAAAATATTTTCATAATGATACTGTTTACACAGATTTAATCAGTGGTGTCACTGGGGTACAGCAAAAACAACAATGTGACCTGCTGAGATTTCGCAGCAGATTGCAGTTTACAATCAAGGCAGCAAGAGCCACTGACATGCACAGCTCTCACCCCAATTGCTAATTAATCAGACCCAAAGAGGTCTCCATAAAAGACACAAAATTCAGCTGTGCATCCCATAAATCGGGAGGCTCCGCTGTTTACTAAAGAGGAAAGGTGACTCAGGGTGTCAAATCCTGGGTAGCACCTATCTTGTACATATGCCTTCAAATACCACTGGGTGCTTGCTTAGCCCCACTCTCTCTGGAAAGGTTTTGAACACAAATTTTCACACTATGGCAGTGTCCCAGAATCATTAAAATGTCACTGTACTGCTTTCAGTGCAAAGCCAGTGAGTGGAAGTCTTTTGTGAGTTTCTATACCTGTATAATTAATTTTGTTTCTTCTCTACTGAATCTATAAAGTGGAGGGTTATAAAATGTAAATTTATTTTAAGAGTATTTTTTGGAAGTGTGGAAAAAGCTATCAGGATAATTCAGTTCAGTTCAACTTTTACATGGGTTCAGCAAAAAGAAAATATATTTGATCCCCTTCATTATGGGACTCTGAGCACAGTAGCCTTGCAAACTGTCCAGTTTGACAAGAAAAAAAGAAAGAAGAAAAAGAAAGGAAGAAAGATAAAAAGACAGAAAGAGAGAGAAAGGGAGAAAGAAAGAATAAAAGAAAGCATTCCTTGTCAAATTGTTTGTTTTATCCATTTTTAGAATAATGGGTTTGATTTTCATTTTTCTTCCTTTCCTGCATAACTCCTTTATTGGCAGCATTCACTTTGAGGTAATTGGCAATTGTAGACCTAGAGGGACACTGGTGAACAAGAAAGGAAGGAACATTCAAGAATACCACTGCTGGTTGGAGTCAGAGCATGCTAGTCATGCTAGTCAAGTGATCCACCACCTCTTGCTGCAGCATCTACACATGGTTGTATACAGACAGCCCTGCTTCTGATGGCTTCAGACCTAAAGGTGGGCATACTGGTGCTCTCACACATATGTAACATGAGGTGGAGAAACAGAACAATCTGATAATATAATCTGCACCACTTTTGCTTATAAGTGAGTTCTGGAACATGTCATGGAATGGAATATCATAACATAGATTATGTTTTTGCAGAGAAAGGGTGGAGTGACTGGAGTTTTACATTTTTAACCAAGGAACATATCACAGTAACCATAGCCATGACAAAAATAGACTATAAACTAAAAATGTAACAGCTACAAGCCACTTTTAGGATGAAATCAATTTGCTTATGCTTCAGGTCCTAAATGCACACTGCACACTCAATAGGGAAGAGAGTGCAACATTGCCTGGTGCTTCCAGCTCTCCTTTGCCCATAAGGGTCACTATTCAAATGCAAGTCCCACCTCTCTATGTGTAAATTTAGCATGTCGAAGTAGGTAATGTTTAGGGTTCCCAACAGTTATAACCTGTTGCAAACACTGAAACTCTCTTTTAAGAACTGCCTACTGGAGAGATGGTTTAGTTGGTAACATTCATATTGTGGGCCATGAGGGCCTGAGCTCAGATTCCCAGCACACATGTAAAAATCATACATAATGACACATGTCTATAGCCCCAGCACTGGAGAGGGCATGGATCATGTTGCCTTGCCAGTCAGTCAGTCTAGCCAAATTGATGAGACTCTGGTTCCATAAGAGACATCGTTCCAACAAAACAGGTAAAGAATACTGAGAACACATATGATATTGATTTCCAGCCCCCTACAAATGCCTATAAACACACACACACACACACACACACACACACACACACACACACACACACACACCGCATTTATGTACACATACAAAATAACATGTATGCACACAAAGAAAAAAATCTCTGTCTACAGTGTGTATCAGTTTTCTGTTGAATTGCTAGCAGTTGTGTTTATTTTCTTAACATAGGGAGGAACTGAATGGAATCCAGAGCAATTGAAAAAGAGCAAATGCCTGAGCTGGTGCTTTCTCTTTGTCTTGATCACTTTTTTCTCCAGTAAACAGATATGGTAGGAGTTCAAACTTCAGTAATGCTTTTTATCCACTGCAAGAAGAGGCAAGCAAGAGGCTCATCCTATGCATTCTCGTTGCATTCTCATAGTGCCATGAATGTGCTCTCAACCTCATGTTTGTCTTTGAGAATGAAGGGGTGAGAGGCAGGGATGGAGAGAGAGTTTAATAGATCAAATATTTACTGTTCAAGCATGTGAACCTGAATTCAATACCCAGGGTCCATGTCAATAAAGCTAGACATGGTAGCATTCACTTGTAACCCTTGTGCTGGGGAGTCAGAGACAGGTGGCTCCCCAGGACTCACTAGCCAGTAATTGGCTTACTTAGACTATTGTCTCAAAATAAAGAGGAGAGTGTCTAAGGAACAACACCCAATATCTTCTGTTTTCCATATGACACACACACAGACAGACACATGCATAAACACATGCATGCACACATGTACAGGTACACACATGTATACAACACACACACACACACACACACACACACACACACACACACATCACACAAATACCAATGATTCTGAGCTAGGATCTACCCCCACATTACCTGTCCAGAAATACTTTAAGAAAGTACATTAAAAAAAAACCTGATAGTGATTGTTTTTAGACATTCCACCTATTTTTCTTGTTATTGTTATTAATAGTGATTTATGGAGAAAGGCCTTTTTTACTTCCCAAATATCCTGCTATGAAGACTCCTTAGTGCATTCAAAGATACAGCAACTGTTAAATTCAGAACATGCAGTGTTAACCAAAAGACAATAGGGCTTAGAAGCAATTTCTGTGTTACTTTTCTCATCGAATGGTTTCTTGAGTGACTAAGAGTCATTACCATGTAGGGTTATTAAGGTGAACAGGGAAGACACAGTGTGGATTGCTCCAACTGATGTTTTATGAGAAACATATCCCAAATAAGATTGTTAATAATCTTAAGTGTAAACTACAGGGCATTAGCTACTAAATCCTAGACCCTTTTATGCCTGGACTCTGAGCTAATGATGATATCCATGAGAAAGTCTGCTAAACCTGCTTACGGCTAAACTAAACCTGCATGTGGGCCAGTGAACTTGCAAGTACCAAGGTGCAGAACAGACTTAAATTGCATTAAACTTACTATTCAGTACTTTCTGTGGGGCAAATGAATCTGAGTTCCACCCAGGAATTCCATGGATCTTTATGTTCCATGTATTGCTGTTCCCTCTCTCTTATGTTTCACCATTCTTATGTTTCAAGCCTTCAAACTGAAGTAAGGTCACAGGACAAGCCATTTGCTCTCCCAGACCAATTGCCACTTGGGTGTCTGTTCACAGTTAAACTTGAAAGTAATATTTTCCTAAAGTGCATTTATACATAGTATGACAATGCCAGATGCAAAAATAAAATTGAAATTTTATAGTTGATGATAAAGAATGCCTTCACTAATGAACATAAATAATTGGAATTTTTACATTTATCATCTCAGATATTTCCATAAATTACCTTCAAATATTAGAATTTTATAATATGTGAAGCATATTGAAATTACAAGATATTAATATGTTATTCAGTACCATAAAACATTTT